CGCCCCGACGCAAAAGCCAATAGGGAAAGATCGCAAAGGTGCCGCGGCGAAAGACCATCAAGATCGAACCCCGACCCCGACTCGGAAGTGCCGTCATACCCCGGCATTGGCCAGAGCGGTAGTCATAACAGCAGCCGCCGCAGCAGCAAGATTTTCCAACACAAGAGAAACAGCTCATCGACATCCTCGTCGCCGCAAATCTTCAGACCCGCTCTGGGGAAGCTCATTGCATCGATTTCAGGACGGTCACCAAACAACACCGAGGGCTCGCAACCACGCCAATCACCACTGACACCAGCGACACCAGCGACACCAGCACCAGGGCAGGTGCAGGTACAGACATACTCCGCTGCCCCCGCGACGACACTATCGGCATCGGCAGGGGTGCTGGCGTCCCCGGCCTATGACCACGTCCGTCAAGACTCGGCAGCCCAGATTCTACAGCAGCCCCACCGCTTGTCTCTCCCGCATCATCCGCCATCTCACCCACACCCTTCTGACCCTTCAGACGAAATGGCTGTAGCCAGCAGTGTCGCCCATCCTCCGGCTGCATACAACATTGCAAGTCACCGGAATAGCCTCATGTCTGTGCGCTCCGCAAAGTCTGCTGTCACCTCACTTGTGACCGAGGTCCCCAAGCCTGTTGCCAGTGGTAGCGGCGTCTCCTGCTCAATACTCCTCGCTGAACGCAACATCTTCCTCACCGGCTTTGATCACGACGGCCATGTGCACCGCGACGGCCAGACTGGCACCGCCCTATTACGCGGAAAGTTGCAACTGAACGTAACCAAGAATGTCAAGATCAAGGCCATCCAGCTAAAGCTGCTGGGACGTGCCCGCACCGAGTGGCCCGAGGGCATCCCTCCCTTGAAGCAGGACGTCTGTGAGGAGGAAAGCCTGAGAACGCAGGTCTTGACATTTTTCAATGCTATGCACGATGGCTGGGAGGGTGAATATGGCAACCAGTGCACATACAAGTTAAAATCCAGCTCAGCAAACTCGAGTAACACAAACCTTGCCGTACCCCAGACGCCCCATCGTCCAGTCAGCCTCCTGCTCTCGTCATCCTCACGAAATGGCCTAACTGCCAAGGAGCTTAAGAGACTTTCGTTGCAGAATACGCAGTCACGTAGCTTCGGCAAGAGCGAGAACGGAGTGGCCACGGCAACTCAAGTCAAGGGCTTCAAGGTGTTTTATCCGGGCACTTACAACTATACCTTTGAGCTCCCTATTGATCATCACCAGTTAGAGACAACCAAGTTGCAATATGGCTCAGTAAAATGGGAGCTCCATGCGAGTGTGGATCGCGCCGGTGCATTCAAACCCAACTTGCATGGCACCAAGGAAGTTTCCATCGTGCGATTGCCAGATCAGATGTCTCTGGAGACAACCGAACCAATTTCCATATCAAGACAGTGGGAAGACCAACTTCATTATGACATAGTCATCTCTGGGAAGAGCTTCCCTATTGGCTCAAAGATCCCCATTGCTTTCAAGCTCACACCACTTGCCAAGGTCCAGTTGCACAAGTTGAAGGTCTACGTGACGGAGTCAATTGAGTACTGGACAAATGATAAACGCGTCACAAGAAAGGATCCGGGACGCAAGATTCTCCTCCTCGAGAAGACAGCAGGGAAACCACTTGAGGCCAACTGGGCCACGTCAGATCTTACCACCGTTCGCGGTGGCGAACTTGAGCCCGAACAACGCCGCCAGGCCAGAGAAATTGCGAATTTGAGGCGCACACGGGAAGCGCAAAGACGCGGCAGGGCTGCTGAACCGCTCCCCGAACCGGCTAACAACTTGCTCGGTGATCTTGACCTTGGCTTGGAGCATATGTGGGGATCTACAGAGATCGAGGCAAATGTTCAGCTTCCGACATGTCAAATGATGGCCAAGAACAAGGATCTCAGGCTCAACCCAGACTGTAGCTGGAAAAATGTCAACGTCTATCACTGGATCAAGATTGTTCTGAGAATCAGTCGCACAGACCCCGAGGATCCGTCAGGGAGGAAACGCCGACATTTTGAAATCAGCATCGACTCGCCCTTCACGGTGCTCAATTGCCGGGCAACGCAGGCTAACACGAACCTGCCAGCGTACGCTGGTCCCAACAACAACCAAACGCCTCATCAGTCAGTATGTGGTTGCCCCGACTCGGCCTCATTGCCGTGCGAAGGTTCGCAAAACTCATCCACAGGCACGTTGCCTGGAACGGAGTTGAGCAATGACGGTTTCCCGCTGCCACCCCAAGCTGCTCATCTTGCGCACTCAGCAATGAACCCCATGACCAGCACCAGTAGTCCCTTGCGGTCAGTGGATGATTTGGGCATTCAAGGCGAGCTCCGGCCCATTCACTTATTACGCGTGCCCAGCTTCAATCCACCCGCGTTTGACGACGATACAGCGCCGCCACCGCTTCTCGTCAACGAAGGCCAAGGAACAGCAAGTGCTCCTATGATGACACCGCCTCCTCAATATGATGCTGTGATTGGAACCCCGAGCGTGGATGGTTTGGCTGATTACTTTACACGTCTTGCCAACGCAGGCTACGGGATTGAAGATGACAACGACTCAGGATCAGATGATTCTGACGAGTTACCGACGAGGATATTAGATCGGACCGGGCGAGTCAACGTGGCACACCCTAGAACACCAGGAGGACGGATGCCCAGCCGAAGTTTTGAAATTTCGCGGCCTCCGGTTAACTTGCACCTCGCGGATTTGCCAACTCGACCCGGTAGAAACAATGAAGCTAATGCCGTTAGCTGAAAGAGAATTACGAAGAAAAGAGTATGAAAGGATGATGAGACGTTGATGCACTGGGAAGAGAATAGACCATACACTTTCTTATCGATCGATGGTACGATTGAAACTGAGGAATCGTGAACGCATTGGGACGGCAAACGGCGTTTTTAGCCTTGATACTGGACCTGGACCGGAAGCGAAGAAAGGGAAGCGTTGGGAAAAGCTATAAGCATGTGGATTTGTGGAGTTCATACCCAACCGATGTAAAGGCTGATGATGATTTTGGACGATCCAGACAGAAATGATGGTGTGAATACGTACGAAGGGGCTGCACATAATGAGACATTTAAATAAATACCTGTTAGCTACCTTTTGCTTTGGGCCACGCCATGAAAACAGGGCTTGTAAGATGAGCTACATGCAAAGATGTGGGAAATAAGAGAGGCAGAGAGGTGTTTTTAGACTCCATGCTCATCTCCAACATTGGTCCGTCGTGGTGGCCGTGTTTGCTTTCACAAACCAAGCCAGTTCAATGTTGCCATCCGAGTCGGACATGGTCATGCCCAACTAATACAGCTAGCTAGAGAATGTCACGGAATTAAATCAGAGAAGAAGAAATATCAGCAAACAAACGATCCAACGAGACAGCTCATCTCGTTTGACCGGGCAGACAAAGTCGTCGGCCACTCCACGGCGTTGTAAGTGTTTCGGCAGATTCCAGCACGCCAAGTGAGCTTCTTAATAGAAGCTGAAGGATCCTCCTGACGGGGAATGATGAGCGAGACTTGTTCCGGTTCTGCTGCTTGTTTTCCTGCCACGGCGAACGGGCGGACCAGATGTGAGAGGGCCAGGAATGATAGAGAAAAAAGGGGG